AGAAATCCAGTTGGCATCACAATAGCCTTCCAACACTTTTGGATGTCCAGTATAATGAATACCATAAGTCATAGTACCTTTCAGATAACGCAATACTCTCTCAAGAGCACGCCAGTGATCATCTCCCGGGTTTGACACAAACCGGCTCAGCTTGCTCACAGCATATGAGATGTCAGGCCTTGTCGCACTCGCAAGGTACATGAGTGAGCCAATGATCTGGGAGTATGTCAGTTGATCCCTTGCTATTCTTCGATTTTTCCTCAATAGCACGCTAGGATCATAAGGCGTGGGAGCAGGATCACAGTCACTAAAACCAAAGCGACTTAATACCTTTTCCACATAGTGGGACTGTAACAGAGTTACCCCACCATCACCTTCTCTAATAAGCTTGATGTTTAAAATAACATTAGCTTCTCCCAAATCTTTCATTTCAAAATTGCTCGACAGAAGTTTCTTTACTTCCTTAATCACATTGAGATTTGATCCAAAGATCAGGATGTCATCAACATATAGGCACAGCATAACAGCTTCACCCCACCATATCGATAATACACACACGTGTCAGCTTTATTCACAGAGAAACCGTTAGATGTTAAAGTATTATCAAACCTTTCATGCCATTGCTTAGGTGCTTGTTTTAGGCCATATAATAATTTTAACAACCTGCACACCTTGTTCTCTTGACCATCCACAATGAACCCTTCTGGCTGATCCATATATATCTCCTCTTCTAACTCTCTATTCAGGAAAGCTGTCTTAACATCCATCTAATGAATGATAAGACCACAAGAGGCAGCCACGGCAATTAAGGTGCGAATTGTAGTCAATCGAGCAACTGGTGAATAGGTGTCAAAGAAATCTTCACCCTCTTTTTGAGTATATCCTTTGGCCACAAGCCTTGCCTTGTACCTCTCAATTGTACCATCAGGCCTAAGCTTTTTCTTGAAAATCCATTTGCAACCTATAGGTTGACAACCATAAGGATGGTCAACGACCTCCCAAGTTCCATTAGACATAATAGAATCCATCTCACTCCTTACTGCTTCCTTCCACAAGTCAGCATCAGGAGAAAAATATGCCTCTCTAATGGTGGTTGGTATGTCTTCCACAAGGTACACTAAATAGTCATCACCAAAGGATTTTGCAACCCTCTATCTCTTGCTCTTTCGAGTGACTATAGTGTCATCCTCCTCAGGGATGTGTACATGAGATTCTTCAGCATGATCTATTGGAATAGACAGTTCGTGTTCATGGGGAATTATAGTCTTATGACTTGTTTCACTAGATGTATTCTTCATTGGGAATTCATTCTCAAAGAATGTAGCGTCTCTAGATTCCATGATTGTATCAACATACATATCAGGAACTTTAGATTTTATAATTAAGAACCTATAACCAACGCTATAAAATGCATAACCAAGAAAAATACAATCAACAGTTTTAGGCACAAGTTTACGCTTTTTGTTGATTTGGCACATTTACTTTAGCCAAGCAACCCCAAGTGCGCAAATATGAGAGATTTAATCTTCTCTTTTCTCATTCCTCAAATGGTGTGATCTCTTTATTCTTTGTTGGAACTCTGTTCAGGACATGACATGCTGTCAAAATTGCCTCACCCCACCATTCCTTGGATAATCCCGCTGTACTCAACATGGCATTCACTAACTCTGTTAGAGTGCGGTTTTTCCTTTCAGCAATCCCATTGGATTGTGGTGAGAATGGCGGTGTCCTCTCATGAACAATACCATGTTCCACACAAAACTCATCGAAGACATTAGAGAAATATTCTCCACTTCGATCGGACATTAACCGCTTTATTTTCCTCTTAAGTTGGTTCTCAACTTCAGCTTTATAGGTCTTAAAATAATTAAACGCTTCATCTTTTGTTTTTAAGAGATACACATAGCAAAACCTGGTGGAGTCATCTATAAACATGAGGAAGTATCTTTTACTACCTTTAGTCAAAATTCCATTCATTTCGCACAAATCAGAATGGACAAGTTCTAGAGGTGCTAAATTCCTCGCCTCAGCAGCCTTGTGAGGCTTGCGGGGTTGTTTTGATTCAACACATACATGACACTTAGATTTTTTGACCAAATTGAATTTAGGAATTAAATTTAGATTTGCTAACCGCATAAGACAGCCAAAACTTGCATGACAGAAACGTGAATGCCATAAATTCGACTCATCAGAAATATTAACACAATTCACCATTTTATTACACACATCATGCAGTGATAAGCGGAACAAGCCTCCGCAATCATATCCTTTACCAACAAAGGAACCATGTTTCGACACAACACATTTATTCGACTCTAGAACAATTTTGTAGCCATCTCGACATAGCATAGATGCACTAACAAGATTCTTCTTGATGGAGGGCACATGCTGCACGCTCTTCAATGGCACCGTCTTTCCCGAAGTAAACTTCAGAATGACCGTACCAACACCAAGAACATGAGCACGCGACCCATTTTCCATCAACAAGGCGCCAGACCTCTCGACCTGGTAGGAAGAAAACAGAGAAACATCAGCACATACATGAATATTTGCACCACTATCCATCCACCACTCAGGTGAATTACATACTGAAAGAACAAATGGTAAAGAATTACCATACCCAGTTGCTCCTTCTCCAGTATCAGTAGTGACAACATTTGCTGATTTCTTTTCCTGCTTGAACTTACGCTCAGGACACTCACTTGCCCAGTGATGTTCACTGCCACAAACAAAGCAGCCTCCATCTCTCTTGTTGTTCTTCTTCTTTTTAAACTGTGCTGTTTGAACAGGCTTTGTTGTGTTGTCTTGCTTGTTCTGGTTTTTCTTCTTTTTATACTTGCGGAATCCAGAGTTTCTCTTCTGTACCACATTAGCAGTAGAGGTCTCAACACTCTTTTCATTGTCTTTTGCTCTAGCTCTCTCCTCAACATCAAGAGTACCAATGAGCTCTTCAACATTAAACTCCTGTCTCTTATGTTTGAGTGAGGTAGCAAAGTCCTTCCAAGAAGGTGGTAACTTGGCGATTGTACCGCCAGCCACAAACTTGTCAGGTAAGACACATGGAAAGAGCTCAAGTTCCTTAGCTAGTGCCTGAATCTCATGAGCCTGTTCCACTACAGATCGGTTCTCAACCATCTTGTAGTCATACAGCTGTTCCATGAGATATAGCTTGCTACCAGCATCGGTAACTCCAAACTTTCCCACAAGTGCATCCCACAGCTCTTTCCCTGTAGGAAGGATGATATAGCTTTTCTGGAATTTTGGATCAAGTGCGCTAATCACTGCACCTCGAAAGAGGTTGTCATCAGCCTTAAACTTAGCCTCATCCTCAGAAGGCAAGTTAGCAAGTTTGCCATCAGAGATATGATAACATGACATTGCAGTGAGCCACAATTCCATCTTAGCTTTCCAAACCAAGAAGTTTTTACCATCAAAAGGATCAGGCTTTAACACAGCAGCAAAACCTCTGACAAAAAAATGCCTATAATTAGGTTTTTGGATTGTTAGAATAATAGGCAATTTTCATGTCATTTTAATTCCATAATTTAACAGCATGATGATGACATATAAAGAAATATTAATCATTGAAATCATGACATTGATTATATCCATGGTGAAAATACATGCTAGATCATGTATCATGTGAAACATATGAAAATCAAAAACATGTGAATTTGATTCATAAATCATAACAGAGAGAAACTGGCATGATATACATCTCATATTTGCAACAAGCATAAGGCTACATATAAAGCAACATGACTGTAACAATAAAGCACATACGCATAGCATATATTTGACAGAAACAGACATAAGACATCTTTTAAAACGGCAATTCTGGACATATGGAATAAACTGAGGAGTTGGAAGAATCGCAAGGGAAGCCGAGAAGCCTCGGAGGCATGCGCCGGGAAGATTGAGAGACTCAGGAAGATCAAGCGTCAGGTCGAGTTAGTGGGTGCTACGCCTGCCTGCCTCGCCACGCCTCGGCCCGAGCCCAGCCGGCGGCGGCGGCGGCGCGCGCGCGTGTGGCACGCCCTTGTCCGTTTCTCAACCTCTCAAATTAGACGGATCCATTCCAATCATTTAAGTTGAGTCAACGTCCTTTTAACTTCCAATCCGGTACAAATAATAATACCCACAATTACAAGCCATAGAGCTATAATTTATTAGATATATAAATGGGCCTGGCCCGTAATAAATCCAACAGCGATGGCGCCGGGGCGGAGGAAGCTAGGCTACGAACACTGCGGCGACGCAGCAAAGAAGGGTGCGCCCTGTGCACTTGTGCAGAGTAAGCAGGGGCTCGACGGAGCCTTTCTCGTCAAGTTGCCATCGTCATCAAGCTGTATCTGTATGTAACCTTTGAAACTTGCCGGGGAAGGGGAAGGGTAAGCCCTGAGCCAGAAATTAGTGAAACTCACAAAAAGCACGTATTTCACACGAGAAGCTCCATTTATTTGACATGATAGCGAAGCAGAGTTACAAACATGACAAGGGTGGTAACACAAAGAGGAAGGACCAGACCATAATACTTGTTGATCCCTCCTGAACCTTACACAATCAAACACTCAGCAAACTACACAAACTTGCATAATACTACACTAATCAAACAACAGAGACTTAGGACAAACCAGCAACCGCAGGAGGTTCTTTCTTAAAAACCGCAGTAACCTCCTGATAGCAGCCACTGAAACCCAAACCAAACCAAACCAAACCAAAGAGCAGGGGCAGGACAAGAAGCACAAACCAGCAAGACCATGGATGGACCGGTGCGTGCTCTAATATGGCAACCGATCCATCCGAGACGAACAGACACCCACCCACAAATACCGAGAGATTCACAAGAGCTTCGTAGTAATTTTTGGCCCTCTGCCAGCCCTCTCTGCTGCGTGCACTAAAATGAGCACGTGATAGCAGCAGAGGAGCGGGAGCATCGGGCGGACGGAAGGGAGAACGCGGAGAGCCATCCATGCCGGCCGGCGTCGTCATAGGTTGTTTCACTTGTCGCCGGCGTCATCGGAGGCCGGGAGACCCTCCTCGCCGTCGCCGCGGTTGTTCTTGACGAGGCCCGCGACTATGGCGGAGACAGCAGCGACGACGTCCTTGAGGATCTTCCCCTTGATCTGGCCCCTCCGCGGCGGCGGCGGCAGGCCCGCGCCCGCCCTGATGCTGCTGCCGCCGGTGGCACCGCCTCTGGCCGCCACTGCGGGCATGGCCGGCGCCGGAACCTGGGTGGTCTCGGTGGCCATCAGCGACGCAACCCCGGTAGCTTGGACTGGTTGGTGGGCGAGAGGAGAGGGGAGAGAGCCTTGGATTTGATTGCACAGGAGTCGGCACTCGCGGTGCCTAAAATAGGCGGCCGAGCTGCGGAGCTGGCGTCGCGTTCGCGAGCAGAGCAGAGCAAGGAGAAAAGCGCAAAGGCGGCAGGTTGTGGGGCCCAAAGTGCGCGTGAGAGGGCCCGCCACCAGGGAACGGACGAACCACGAGTAGTTGCGGTTACTTGGAGGGAAACACGTGTGACTGACAAGTAGGGACAGTCATCTTCTAGGCCCACGTGGCCCCAGCACAGCACCCCGATATTCAACGTGGTCGGTCCGTGGGCCCGCGTCTTTTGATGTGGCTAGTGTTGATATGCTAGTCGCTCAGCACTGGATAGCATTAGCAAGCACGCGCTGGTGCTGGTGCCACTGATGCGCCTAATGCTGCGGTTAGCACAAATCAGCAGAAGGAAAAGGAGATGCTTCTAAAAAGCGCCGGATCTCAGTTCCAGTATAATTTATTAAGTCGCGACTTTTTTTATCGTTGGTTTCAGAGTGATGGATGCTCCTATTTTTCTCGAACGTGCCGTGTAGCACGTATTTCATTAAAAGAAAGTAGATAACATCGAACCAAATAACAAAGGATTTGCCGGTAATCTAGAATTACCAGCGTAATCCCACAGGCATAAACGATACAGCAAGAAAACACGGCCCCCTCCACCAGCAAACCCCTTACAGACTGAGCCTATCAGAGGCAGACAAAAATACATTGGTAGTCTAAGGTGTAGTGTAACCACGATAGACAACATCCACCAAGGAAGCCAAGGGAGCCGGTACGACAACAGTGGCAAAGCATCCACACGAGAAACGACCACGGCGGCCAAGCATCCGCCGAAAAGGGACCATTACGGTAAAGCATCCGTAATGAGGGCCATCACATGCTCTGCGGCTGACTGAACGTGGAGACCTAAGCGACGAGGTGGCCAAGCATCCACCCAAGCAGCAACAGTGGCAAAGCATCTACCAACGAACCGAACGACAGCGGCAACAACAAACACCGAAGGACAAACCAATGCGAAAAAGAGACGAAGCACATATAAGCACAGCAGCGCAGGCAGCAACACCGAGGAGCAAGCAGCAACACCGACGATCGACGCGCGGTTAAGAGAGTTGTGGCAGCTAGAGTGACCCAAACGAAGCCTTCAAGAAGGGGATGACATCTACGGATGCCAACAATGTTCGGAGAAGCACAGGCAGGATCATCCCGGAGCCTCCCCAATGACCCGAACGGTGCAGACATGCTTCAACGACGCCTTCAGGAAGGAAAATGACACAGACTGCGCCACCGCCGCTGGCCCGGAGCAAGAAGCCGAGCAGGGTAGACACCCAAGCACGTTAGTCGACACCGTGGGTTGGGGAGGGGGCTTTGTGCGAGTGCTTCCTAGCGCGGCGACGGCGAACTCCATTGTCGCTTAGGGACCACGCCGACGCGGCGTCGTCAAGTGGACTCCAGATGCGCAAGAAGAAGGCATGTCCCACGGCGGCCACAGGGACGCAGACGATTGCCCCGACGCCGATCCGAACCACAAAGGTCCGGAAGGGGCCTCCGTCTCATCCGCCCCTTTGTCGCTCCACTAGCACCGCAATCCTCACCGGATCCGCAGCAGACCTCATGAGATTCCGGCAGCAGCGGACGGAGCGGCCGGGCCAACCGACCGCTACCAGAAGCGGCGAAGCCGAGCACACACAACAGCGCCATCCCCCGCCGCCACGCTGGCAAAGGGCGCCGCCGACGCAGACACCCCGCCGTAGCACCCGCGTCTCATCGAAGTCGGACGCCCGTGGAGCCGAGGCGCATGGAGATGTGCCCCACGCCCCAGCGCCACCGGCCAAGACCGAGATGGCCGCCATGCCGCTAACCCACCGAGGCGCTCGTGCGCCAGATCTGTCGCCACAGGCCCAACCGACCGCCGGCCGAGGCAGCAAGAACGCCAGAGCCACTCGTCCAAGACGTCCACGCTGCACTCGCAGACGCCGACGAGCGCGACACGCCGCAGGAGGGCCACCGCCGAACTCACGCCACACCGCCCGTCGATCCGGCGGCTGCCGCCCCGCCCGGATCTGCTGGTTAACCCCAAGCGCCCGGATCCGGCGCAGAACCAGGCCCCGCCGGGGTCCCAGGCGGTGGATCCGGCCAAAGGGGGTCCGGATCTGTGCGGCTAGCCCCCCAGGCGCCCGGATCTGGCCGGAGTTGAAGGGGAAGAGGAGGGGGGTGGAGGAGAGAGCAGGGGAGGGGTAGGCGGAGCGCTGAACGACAATCTTGCCTTTCGGACCCTTGCTGGGGGTTGCCGCCACCAAGACGCCGGAGGGCGGCGACGGCAAGCCGGAGGGAAGGAGGGGGGGCGGGGTTCAAGCGCCGAGATGGGGATCACCCCCGAGTCGCACGTTGGGAGCGCTCGGGGGAAGTCAATCATGCTCCTATTTTTGGCTTTGGCTTTCTAAATAAACATCCTGCGATAGTATAGTTAATGATCTCTCTAATGATACTAATTATGTATTATAAATATTAATATTTTATATATATAGAGGTCGTTCGGATGGTACGAAGTGAACCGGAATTCACTGTTCCCGGCTGAAAAATACTGTTCACTCTCTCACAGATTCCTCCAAATTCCTTCAGCGAACAGGGCCATAACTGGTCAAAGCTAAGCCACAACGACTTTTATTTTGGGAGGAGTACGAGCACTAGTGCACATTAGCTCTACGGTCGCAATCCTGGTCTGTTCTACCGGCAGCTCTCCGTAACGGTGGCGTACTAACGTAGTAGACACCATCCGTGACCTGTCTGCCTTCCTTCTTGGTTAAGGATACACTGTATTGGTACGTACCTTCTTCCTTCTTGATGGGTCAAGAATCATCCATCTCTGGGTCTCATTGCCGCAAGCATCAGGTACGGCGTTGCTCGCGTGATCTCACCGGGAGGACGTCATCACACTAGCCGAGCCAAGCACTACCGGACGCCACAGCCACTTCAGGTATCCGGCACGCAACCGCGGAAGCCGTTTGTTTGGCTTTGACCCGGTTCGCTGACTCGTGCCAATTTCTCCGATCCGGCATTCCGGCGTGCGCCTACATCCCATCCCGCCGAGCGACTAGTCGACTACCGAGGGCGGCGGTCTCCGCTTTCCTCAGCGCAGGGATATGCGCGTGCGGCGTGCCCTTGCCGTTCGTGCTTCTGCCTGCGTCTCCCGATCCTGCGATAGAGTTGAGGAAGGGCTTAGCATACTTTGGCTCCGTTCGGCTGGCTGAAACTTAGCTGAATTGGCTGGAAAACACTGTTCTGGCTGAATTGTTGTGAGAGAAAAACACTGTTCTGGCTGAAAAAACAAGCTAAATAGTGCGGATTATAAGATATGCCGAATGGGGGCTTGAATTTACGAATTCAAAACAAGTTTAGAGCTTGTTTGGATTATAGATTTTCACAGAAATTTTAAAGAAATTCAAATCCTATATTTTTTCTTACATCATAAGTTGTTTGAAATGAAGGAATAAAGTTTTCTTTTTCTAGAGAAATGCTTGCTTTCCTTCTTGAAAGGGAGGAAATAAAAACATTCACTTCAGGGCCTTTACGAAACAGATTTGCTATCTATCAATCCCTCCGGCAACCGAATTCTAGGCCGTTGGATATGGCACGTGTCGCGTGCCGCGATGTCCGATTCTCACACTCTCTGGCTGGTGATCGCTCCCTGGTTCTCTATGACTCTGTCATGTGGGGTCCGTGCGCCCAAAGTTGGAGCGTTCATTCCCCTTTCCTCATTTCTCATTTCGTCTCGTCTTCCTCCTAGAAACTCTTGGTGACTCGTTGTTCCCTACCGCGGCGGTCGGTGATTTCTAGGGTTTGGCGAGCTAAGTTGTTTCTGCTCCCTTGTTGTGATAGTTTCCGTCGTTGCTAGGGTTCGTTCTCGTGTTAGTCAGTTGTTGACGGTCATTAATGTCAATTATAAACCGTCAACATAACATGCATATATAGTTAATTCCATCACCAAACCTAGATCTAGGGGTTTAAACTGACAAATTTCACAAGTTTTGGTGAATCTGTGTTTTCAGCAAGATTTATCTAGAAAACCGTCAAGAGTGACTTAATTGTCAGATTACATCACGTTTATCCACGATGAAAACTACTTGGGAAGGATCTAGAACACACTAGAAGGCAACCCACCAAAACAGACCTCGAAAGGCTGACATGTGGGGCCGGCCGGCCCCACCTATAGGCCGGCCGGCCTGTGGACCCCGCTGGTCAGTCTCTGCTTCGACGTCGGTTCTTCCACCGCCACTGAGGATCAATCTACGTCGTTGCTCAACGTCGGTTCAAATAGAAGGACGAGATAGAGCCATGCTATACATTTATGGGCTCAATTTAGAATTTGGCCCATAAAGGTCCATGTGTATTTTAATGAGATATGGTGTAAAGTTTAGTACCAATGAGGCTACTAAGAGGGGGAGGGTGCTAGGCGCCCCTCATAAATAGCTGCCCCTATCCCTCTTCCTGGAGCCATCCTGAAACCCTAATTCATATCCTCATTTCAGGATCAGAGCATCACATTCAAGAGAGATTAGTCCTCTATAGGATCTAGTCTTGTACCTAGGAAATAGTGAGTTAGAGAGTGAAGGAAGAGTTTAGGGGAAGTACCGGCCTATCGGTGCTATCTCTACGGCTTGTACTTTGGCGGATCTAGACTTCTCCAAGTCTATATTTAAGATACATCTGGTAATTGATTTCTGTTTAAAATAAGTTTTGTGCTTCACGGGTTCACAGTTCTTTTGAGTGCTTTAGTCCTTGTTAGATCTCTGGATTAGAGTAGTAATCGTTAGCATAAGCGTGATGCTTAGGCTATCGACTACCTGTGTTTGCTCCCTGCTTCTTGGTTGTGTGGTAGCAGCGGGAGGTGACAGCT